TTTAGATATTGTAAGTTTTCCGATAGTTGGCGCTCTATTACAATTCAATTATTTCAGATTTATATATGACATAACTAACCTTACTTTTTATATTTTTTTTAGTGTATTATTATTTTATGTATTGCATTATAATTGCGGTATTATTTAAAATCATAGCAAACGCGTGCTTGGAGTATCCTAGTTTTCAATAGATGACGCTGTATTACAATTCAGTACATAGTTTCTGTATAACAAAGCCACATCCTAGTAATATAATAAGTTCCATGAAGATGTAAATGGTGGTAAAGGGAAAGGATAGAAGATAATATATAAGAAGAATGTTATTTATTATAAACATTGTTATGTTTGAATTTTTTTGGTGTTTAACAGGCGGAGTATGACAAAGGGACACGATTCAGCGAACACTGGGATCGTTTGCAAAAGCAATTCACGTGTTGCGGTGTATCAGGGCCGAATGATTTTCGATCCTCTTTGCCAAAGACGTGTTGCGGTGGTATCACTACTACAACTATAAATATTACCGATACCACTACCACCACAACTACCTGCCAACAACCATATTCAAGTGGATGCGCGGAATCTTTGTTCAGTTGGTTGAGAGAAACTTCCGATCGTTTATTCGTATTCGGTTTTTGTGTAGTTGCATTTACTAAGCTGTGTTTCCTCGGTATATTGCGTTATGAAATACGTGAGATGATACAGAAGATTCGTATGTTACGTGAACCACCCCCACCTGCTACGACGTTTGCTCAACCACCATTTTCTCAAGTGATGTCCGAACCAACGACGAACAATGGCAGCATCGTTAGACGAACTACTTTGCCTAACGCCGTTACTCCATCTGGTATGTTATACTATTTGTTTGTTTTATTTATTTAACCCTTTACACTCGAGGACTCCGTTACAGAGACAATAGTAGAAGTAAATTCAATTTGGTTCTATTGGATTGGCAAGTAAGTGATTGTGGATTTTGTCGATAGATGGCTTTTTAAAATCTGCAATGATTTAGTTGCCAATCCAATACAACATATCAACTATGATTTTTCATATGTTATTTATTTATAATACGTGTATACGATTTGTTCTTACGATTGAAATTGTTTTGTAAGTTTGTTGATAATATGTGAAATGAAAAATATAACTTCGAGTGCAAAGAGTGAATACTTTTAACTAGTTTTAAGTATGGTAAACCTCCATTTTGAAAGTGCGCGCCGCTGTGTGTCGCTACAATCGACCGATGACGAGTTTTGAGATTAAAATTGCTCATTTTGAAAATAAAATGAACTAAATTGAAACTCTTTCTTATTTAATCTTGAAATTTGAGAATATGTTTACATAAAATTACAATTTTAATTGCAAATGGTGACTACTTTTTGACGCATGACAACTATACTAGTCAAACTCATGTCAGTTAACTGATAAAATCCAAAGAATTGAGAGAGAGAAAAAAATATGAAGAAACACGTTTGAATAAAAATGAACGATAGAAATTAAAGAGACGATAATAATAATCCTAGATAAAAATTTCATATCAACTATCCCCAACTACCAACCCCTTTTTTTTCTTCTAAACGAATCCTTTTCATGGAATTAGAGTTTCGTAAAAAAGAAATAAAAACAAAAAAAACGTAGACAGAGAAGAAATCGCTTTTTGTTTTATATTTAATAACTCGTAATAATAATGAATGATCTATCATTAGGTATATATATGGTGTACAAAAAAAAACAAACAAAAAAGATACAAAGTAAAGATAGAAGAAGATTAAAGAATTTTTCTTCAAAGAAAAAAACCTAATGTATATTATCCCTATCACAATCTATATATATATATATATATAAGAAAAAGGTTTATAAAAAGAAAAAGTTGATAAAATTATTCTCAAGTAAAGTTTTTCAAACATTAAAAAGAGTATAGAGTCGAGAGTTTATGGTTAGTTGTTTAATTTCTAACAACGATCCTTCGTTGTCATAGTTGACTCGTGTCAAACGTATTGTTCTTACCTACCTACCAACACAAGCACACACACACACAAGTAGTAAGAAAGTTTTCTTACACACACACATATATATATATATACCCATATATACAATATTATAATACATGTAAAAAAAGAATCTTTATTCGTGTACAACCGTCGTTTTTAATTCAACGTTAAAGTGATTTAATAAACGACCCAAGTGAAATGAAACAATTTCAATGCGGAAGTTATTAGATTTGTTTTCTTTTATACGTGTGTTAGTAGTAACACGTACACGTTAATAGTAGAAGATGATAACACACGGTTAAAATACACGTGTGCATAAACGTGTTATAACTGGAGTTTACGAACGTTTTAAAAGGGGAAGTGTGGGGGAAGGAAGAAGGTTCGATGAACCCCGTAGGAAACTAAAATAAGACTTCAAATCGATAATCGCGAAAAGAGCAACGAAATTTCTTCTAACGTGACTGACTGGGAGGGGGTAGGAGACAGGAGTAGGGGGAATAGGAAGTGGAAGGGATGAATAGAATATTTTATTTGTTTCTTCGTAAACGTTTTTAGATCGTGGGAATATGAACTTTCGAAAATAGTGGATGATGAATTTTTGAAAATGGTGGAAATTGAATTGTTTTTTTTTTTTTTTATTCTAATGGAGGAAAAAATGTCCATGTGAAAATATTTCTAGTGAAAAAACTACATTTAGTTAATGCAATTATTTTCAACGACAATGTTTTTTAAAATCGTTTATACGTTTATAAAAATTATTATTAATAATTAATATATAATATTAATAAATAAATTAATAAATATAATTATTTATATTATTATAAATTATTATTTATATATATTTATATAGTACTATATATAATATATATATATATATAGTATATTTGTATATATTATTAAAAATATATATTATAAATTATAAATAATAATTAATAAATAAAATAATATATATTAATAAATTATTATTATATATATATATATATATATATATAATTTAATCGTGATTGATAAAATTAAACAAACAAAAATCTATATTAATTAATAACAATTATTAGGGAAATTTTAGAATAATAAAATTCGAGCCATAAAATAAAATAATAGGAATTTTTGTAATTATATTTTTAACCTGATAAAATATATATATATATATATGTATGTATGTATGTATGGTTAATATTTAAATATAGATAGATAGAATTAATTAAATAAAAAATTACAGTTATTTGCAAAAGTTTTTCTAAACGTTGTCGTATTTTCTACGAGAACTTACAAACCGGACTTTATTATCGATCCGATTTGATTCGGTGGTGGTGGGTGGTGTTGATGGTGGGTGGTGGATAACACACTGTTAACGTGTGTTAGAAAGAGAAAAAAAATGGTATTTATAAATACCGTTGTGTATGTGTGTGTGTTTTATTTCTTTTTTTTTTTTCTTTTCGTTGCAATCATATTTAAATATTATTATTATTCCATTCGTGATGATAAAATTAAAATTGGAAAGCAAAAAAAAAGAAATAATGAAATCGCGATCGATAAAATTAAACAAAAAAGAAAATCTATATTAATATTGTTAAGAGTTAAATTATTCAATTAAATTATTATATATATATATAGGAAAATTTAAGAATATAATATAATATTAAAAATATCCGATATTAGTAAAGTTACTTTATTCGTGTGGGTGTGTGTGTTATATTTTCTTTCTTTTTCTTTCTTATTTAAAATTAAAATATTCAAACTAAATTTCTACACAAATTCAGATCATTGTAGGGTTGTGTATACTTTTCGCATAACTTTAGCCTAATTCAATCTAGTCTATCAGGATTATATATATATATATATATATGTGTAGTAGATTCTTATCACCTTTAACAAGTATCATTTAAATTCAAATTCAAATTAGATAAAAAAAAAAAAAAAGAAAAACTTTACAAGTCTCGAATGGAATAAACAAGGAATAATAAAATAAAAAATAAAAAAATAAAAAACATGTTCGCAATCGTTAAATACAATTTTTT